CACGTTCTTTGGAGCCGTGGGGGATTTTTTTTTTTTTTTTTTTTTTTTTTTTTTACAGCACTGACGTTCCACGGCGACAGGTTCTTTGTTCTAGTATCTGAGATGAAGGAACCGCAGCACGCCATGCGCGCGGCCTACACCCTACAGTCCTTTGCCACTATTTTTTATGCCATTTTTGCTAGCGTTACCTACGGCTACATTGGAAGTACCGTCCAGTCGCCTTCGTTCTTGTCCCTGTCTCCTTACTGGCAAAAGGTATCTTGGGGTCTTGCCTTGCCAAATCTTCTGCTTGCTGGATCTCTGTACGCGCACACAGCAAGTAAGGTCATCTTTGTCAGAATTTTTCGGCATTCCAAGCATCTGCACAGCCACACATTGCTGGGTTGGGGAGTCTGGATCTCACTTGTTGTATTCACGAATGGCTTGGCCTTTCTCCTCGCCGTCGGCGTTCCCATCTTCAACTACTTGATCGGAATCGCCGCATCACTCTTCGCCGCATGGTTTACGTACGGCATGTAAGTCGTGCAAAGTCTACATTATACACATTATTTTGGCTCTCATCTGTCCAAATTTTCTCATCATTCCAGTATTGTGGGATGTTCGGCTAACGCGTATTCTTTTTACAGAGCCGGCATGTTCTGGCTGCACGACTCGTACCACGACGGTCCTGGCTTCTATGCCTGGCAGCAAAAATGGGGACAAGCGTCTCTCGCAGTGGCGACGATTCTGTCCGGCATTTTTATATGCGTTGCAGGCCTCTATGTCACCATTCGTGCCATTGTGGATGCCTTCGCCAGCGATCAGCTCCCTTCTCCATTTACTTGTTAATGTTGAGAAGAACCAAATCGAGGCTTGATAGCATGAAAATAGTGGAGACTTGCGTATTGAAAAGTCGTTGATATGCAAGACAACCTGGGCATGTTATATTCTGGGACTAGACTCTGTCAATTGACGGCGCCGTCATGTATAATGTATCACAACTGCCCTGGAATTCGTCAGAAACTGTTATTGGCAATCCTGAGGCTTTGATCTCCCCATGTTTTCATATCAAACAAGCCCATCACTGTCGGATGGTGGAACGATGTCAGAGACGACGCCATATCCGAGTGCAAGAGTAGCTTCAAGTCATTAGGAATTATTGAACATGACATCATGATTGATAAGGCACGTGAAGAAATGAATCACTTAGCCGCACTCGCAGCACTTTGTAACATTCTCAGGAGGAATAGAGCCGACCAGTTTCTTTGCAGTGCCGAACCAATACTTGACACGCAGTAAATTCCCATGATAAAGAGATATATCATTCGGCGCCTAATGTTATCGGCCAAGTCTCCAAGAACAGCCGGCGCGATGCCAGCCATGATCATGTAGGAAGTGATGGTGAGGTTGATTCTCCCCACTGAAACATGAAGCGCGTGAGATACGTCATCTATTGCCGGGAAGGTGGCGGCAAATGGGGCCAGGCAGATAATGAGGACACACTGCATCGTGGTGAAAGTTGCATACGAGGGCAAAGGCACAGTAGCCTCGGCTGCGACAGGGGAACGCTCTGTTACTAGACCTTGCTCTACCAGCTGTGGAAGCATCGTTGCGCTTGCAGGAGACATGGCAAGGTATGCATAGTGGTCGAATATAGCTTTTGAAATAAAGCAAGGGTACTATCCGCAAGATTTGTAACCCTACATAGTCATGCTTTGTGTAAGAAACTGGGGTTGAACACCCACCCCGGTTGATGGTGTCTTTACGTTGCTGAGTCTCGGTCACATCTTTGGCCGCCTCAGCTGCAACAATACCCGGCCTGTGACCACCCGATATCTCCTGTTCATTGTAATTGGCGTCTGTAGTCGTACCGCATGAGACATGCTGCAGGCTGTGAAAAATCAACGTAAACGGAAGAGTGAGCGTATCGCCTAATGACAAGAGCCTGCCTGATTGGCTGATGTGACAAGGGCTTAGTGTATAAGGGCTTGGAATAATGTTTAATTCAGCTAATAATTCGCTTCAATATCAAAGATTCTTGATTTTCTCAAGGCCTCTGGGCGCAGATGCCGCTTATTTATACAAAGCAGCGAGCCTGGAAGCCTAAGGCCCCAACTAGGTCTCGAGCCCTTGTGTAAGTATCGTCAGGTTCAAGGGTCGGCCCGTGCCTTCCATACATCGTGACCTCCGTGTTAACAGCTGATGAGCCTGCGGTCTATAATTGGCGCTGGTCTTACCCACACGCTACCGACTTTCATGTCTGGTCTGGTAGTCCCTAGACGCCGAGGCCCTGCCATTTAAAGTGATGGTATGCTGCTGGTACGGCCTATGTACTGGCCACTGACCTACAGACGTCGATTTGAATCCCAAACATCTGCCCACTCCAGCAACTTAACCTTCTACTTCCAACAGATTGCAACTCACCAAACAACAATGACACCAAAGACCATCGCTATAATCGGAGGCTCAGATGCCGACTTAATCATGATTGCGAACCGCATCCCCAATCGCGGCGAAAGCGTGCTCGCAAGTCAGTATCTGGAGGCCTTGGGCGGCAAAGGAGCCAATTCAGCGATTGCGACCTACCGAACATGTCACAAAAAGTCGTTGCAGAAAAAAAGCTGCTTTGACGGAGATGATATTCAGTTCAAGATGATTGGCGCGGTCGGTGATAATCGATACGGTGAGAAGTTTATTATTAAAGTAAATGAGAATAGCGTAAATACTTCTGGCATCGTCATAGTCCCCAACACGCGGTCAAGCATTTGTTTCGTTATAGTCGAGGACCTATCGCGCGAAAACCGGTGTCTTTTTACACTAGGCGCAACGGCAACCTGGAAAAAGGAGGATTTTATTCACGCGGAGCAACTTGGAGGCGGGATTCGACCACATGTGGTGGTGGCTCAGATGGAGATCGACAACGAAGTGGTTGAAAGTATGCTGGCAACTGCTGGTAAGCTGGGATTGACTTTTGTCTCAATGCAGCGCCAGCAAGCCCGATCAGTAAACGTCTCTACCGACATGTAGCACATTTCCTCGTGAACGAGTCAGAGGCAGCAGTCATGTCGGGGCTTGATAGAGACGAAGTCAACCAAGACACTTGGCCTATCATCGCCCAAGGGTTCTTAAATCGAGGTGTAGCCAACGTGGTTATTACACTTGGCGCGAAGGGGGCATTCTACGCTAATAATACAAGGGGGAGTGGCCATTGTCCTGCATTTGACGTTAAAGTCAAGGATACTACTGGCGCAGGGTATATTTCTTTTCGCCTCCTAACCTTTGATGTGCGCCGTTCTAATCGCGTTAATTAGGGACACTTTCACGGGGCCATACGCCTCGGACTACCTGCGACAGAAGGCCAAAGGGACGTGGGACATTAAAAGTGCGGTAATTCGTGCGAATAAGGCTGCTGCTATTACGATTGAAAGCGTGGGAACTCAAGACGGAATTCCTTGGTCGGATGAGATGAACAGTTTTGATGCACTCGAGAAATCTCTCGATGCTGTACGTTCCAACTCTCTCGCTGGACTTGGTAATGAGACTTGAATGATTGGGCATCGTGGTACAACCTTGGTACCGCAAAGATAGGGCTGAACATGCCCACCACGGTAAAATTTGGAAATATCAATCTATTTGCCATCTTTGCGTCGTCACTTCCATATGCCCCCTCCTTCTGTGGCCCATTGGCATGGCCCGGTATCAGTCACCTTTTAATGTATTTCCGTTCGAGTTTGAGGGATTGTAAGAGACTCGGCAAAGCTGGAAGTCAAGCTTGCCGTCATGACTGACGGCTCTGGGCACCAAAGGACCTCAGCCATTGGGCAACCTCATTATGCCATTATCGGTAGCCCGAGATAGGGACAGGGGTAGAGTGTAAAAACAGGTACCCGTGGGCACCCGTGGGTATCCAAGTTTTTCTTGGGTTATTCGTGGGCTACCCATTTTATTATGTAGGTGGTTTAGGTATACCACGAGTAATCTAATATAAAGATAAGTACTTTATAAATACCTATAAACGTATAATAATATAAATATTTAATTATATTTATAATAAGTCTTAAGTTTAAAGTATAAAGCAAGTTATATCAGTCTTATTTAAGTACTTAAAAACACCTAATATTCTTAATAAATAATTATAAGTACTCTATTTTCCCCTATAAATCTATTTAGGTCTTTTTTACCTACCTATTACCTACCTAAAGCCCACGGGTAAGCAACCCACACGGGTACCCGTGGACCTTTTACACCCTAGACAGGGGCGTTAGTTAGGCCTTGCGAGTCGGCCGCTTTGAGGTTTGCTCGAAAGACAGCATTGACCTCCCTCTTTTATTCTGCTTTTTTATTTAGCTTCCCGAAATCTTCAGCTAAAATAGCTTCTATAGCCCTTGACTGCCGGAAGAATACGCGCTTTGTCGGACGCAAATTCGCCCCGTGCGAGGTGGCGTGTTCTGCAGACCCTTCACCCTCTATTCCGTCTCGCCGAGAGCCATGACGTCCGATAAGCCTATAATTCCTGACCTACGGCCGTCTATGGGAACTGCATGTCGCAAATCACTCCCGGTCAGGCAAAAGGATAACCTCGACCTTCTGGGCTACCTACAGCCATACATCGAATTCCACAGCACTGCAGAGCTCCTGAAAAATCCTCCACCAGAGTACTTGCTCCCTGGTGTCGATATTATAGGCGGTATGCAAGCCATGAGGTAAAAGTTGGAGAACAACAACTGTCAGTCACAGCTTGACGTAATGACTGACTTGCACAACATTGTAAGCCGAAAGAGGAATCTTGAGAGTCAATAGGCAGACCGGAACTGACAAGAAGACAGTTCCTTGCGGCAAGTGACACTCACTTTCGCTACTCTAAAATAACCAGGTCCTGCTAGCCGTACTTGAAAATCGCGAGCTTGCACCAGCTGTTTCTAAACAGATGTTGTTGAGTAAGCTTTTCCTCACACCTACGTCATTCTCGTGTTTCTGTTCTTTCTCTAATCTAGTACTATGGAAGCATTTATTCCAAAAGGCTCGACTGGAGTTTTTTCAACAAACAGCCGCCTTCTTATTGTCTGTCTAGGTCTGAGAAAGAAGGGGGGAAAGCAAGCTTCACTTGTATATGAAATTCCATCTGATAAGTGGAAAGGCACTTTTGCGATGTATTATACTTTATAATATCCATAGTACTGTTATTGCTGCTTATGAATAAGCGTCCGACAAGAACGTAACTTACAGAGAGCTATTACTACAGTCTCATGCAGCATTAGACTCACAGCATCGATAAACCTAATGTCTGCGGCGCAATTGTCGTAGGCTTCTTCTCTGGAGCCACCCATACGATAGTTCACCCGGGTGAGGCTGTTGGACGGCCCAGGAATAGTGCGGCAATGGCTCGGAGAGGGCTTGAAGTGATATCTCAATTCACCCAATAATAGTCCTTGGTATTAAACGCGCTTGGTTTTTTTCAAGGCCAAGATGACTACAGAGCGCTGTCTATACAAGAAGTCGGTGAGAGCCTCATACCCTACGTCTCGTGATCGTAGTCCTCGTGCAACATCTGCGTGGCATATAGAGCAGAGGAGATAACGGACGAGGCGTCGAGAGTCGAGACAGTAAGCTAGATACACGTGGTAGCAATCTCGTGTGCAGATCTGGACCATTCCCGCTTCGGCATCTCGTGCGCCATGCTTTCAACAACCACCGATTTGGACCCTTTCATCTCCTCCTTCAGGGCCTCGACGTGCGCCAAAGGAATATTCCTATCCTCTCGGCCATGCACGATAGTGGTGGGACACTTGACATCGCGCAGTAACTCTCTTGGCTAGCGTCCAGATACAGCTGCACTCTGGTTAAAAATGCTCTGCACACTATTGCCCTGCCTGGAGACGCGCGCAAACTCGATGGTCTGTCTACGGTATATTTCCTCGCGCTCAGCACCTTCGGACTTGGGAAATGAAGTACAGTCGACGCAGAACATCAGAAAGTCCGTGACCATGTCTAGATTCTGCCAATCGCTGGGGAAAGGCGCCGTTGCGCGCTGAGCGCTGAGCTCGGAGTTCCATTGCGGAAGGGCGTCTTGGCCAGATGGCAATGGGCCGACAGGACTTGATGAGAAAAGAGAGACGCTTCTCACGCGCTGCGGATGCTGAGAAGCAATCACCCATGCGATGGCGCCTCCGAGACTGAACCCGACGAGGTTGGCGGACTCGATGCGCAATTCGTCTAGAATAGCGACGGCATCGTCGCACAAGTCGTTTATGGAATAGTGAGCCGCTTCTCCTAGGGGGAAATTTGTAGATGTTCCAGTGTCTCGGTAGTCGAATCGGATGATGAAAGAGCCTCCCAACTGTTTATCCGCCATTGAAATGAAGTCCTCGTGCCAGCACAACATGGATTGCGCACCGCCAGAGAGCAGCAGCAACGGTGTCGCTTCTTTCCGTCCAAATGTTTGGTAGCACACCTTCACGCCGCCCGGTCGTGTCACAAACTACTCTGGGTGAACTTCCATTGTTGAATCAAAGTAGGATGCTTCGAGGATGGACTGGTTTATGCGCCACGCGCCGGTTTACAAGGGCCATACCCCTATTATTTATCAAGTATGGAAACTTGCGAGTGCCGATGAACAACCCAAAGTCGATCCACGGCAGAAGGACCCACGATCTCTAGGAGTCACCCGGAACCGTTAATGCAGATGACTCACACGGAACTGTTGATGCAGATGGCCTTCTGAAACCCACTACGGTCCGACCCATGTAGCTTCAACTGTCCCGGACTTGGGGGCAACAGGCGCAGCTCTACCTAGGCAACCGGAAGCATGGATAATTGTGAGTCCGGGATTGCTCTAGCTAGCAGCGGCTTTCATCCCCTGTGCTGCCACTGCCGGTTTTTGCGTCGCCTGTCGCCTCC